TCTTTTCCAACCAGTCCTAGGGCTCCAACTACAACAGGGATTGGTGATGTTCCCATATGCCACATTTTCGAGATTTCTATTTCAAGGTCCTTGTATTTTGACAGCTTTTTGAATATCTTCAAAGATACATTGCAGTCAGCAGGGACTGCCATATCAATAAGGAGGCCCGTTTTTGTTTGTGGTCTTTAATAACAATATTTGGGCGGTTGGCTTTGATTGTTCTGTCAGTGTGTATTGTGTAGTCCCATAGAATTGTAACAGGTCCTATCTCCGTAACCGGATCTGGGTGGTGTTCATACCAGTTTCTTTCAGTTTCCTTCCCGTAGAAGTTACAGATTTTCCAGTGCAGACATTGGCCCATTCTGTCATGCCGGGAGTTTATTATTATTATTATTATTATTATTATTAACTTATAATTGTACTTGTCTCTCCTTTCGCCAGTTTCCACAATTGTTACGCCCTGCGAATAACTGAAAAATAATGGACTCTTGCTTTTTGACAAGAAGGGGGGAAAGACATTACATTTTGTGGGGGGTGGGGAGATAAAATGAAAGAAAGGCTGGAAAATAGAAGTGGAGAGAGAGAGAGAGAGAAAGAGAGAGAAAGAGAGAGAGAGAGAGTCAGTCAGCTTACGCTAATAAGAACAGATAACAGACTTTGATCTTACCCAGAAGGCCCTATGTCGACATTTTTCAGACGATCAGTATCGAACGATGGAAACCGCGTAAGGCAATCGCCAAAAATCAATTTATCACAAATAAAATAACACCGTCTGCTAAATTATTTTTAAATTATTATTAAGACAAATGTTCGTAAGACTGGGATTTGGTTAGAAAGAAAGAAAGAAAGAAAGAAAGAAAGAAAAAACAAAGAAGGGAATATAGAAGTGAGTAACGTCTCACAAATAATGGAGTATTCCGTTTTGATGGTGTAAAAAAAAAACCAAAAGACTGATGCTACATGATTTCAGTGTGAAAATGAATGAAAGAAAGAAAAAAAAGAAAGAATAAAAAAAAGAAAGAAAGAAGGGAAGATAGATGTTTTTAACGTCTGTTTCAGTGAAATGGAAAAAGCAGTCAATTTCAAATCTTTCATTTGTACTCTTTTACTTCTTAAAATAATGTCATATTTATGCTTGTTATTGCAATATTTTGTCAAGGTTGTTAAGCTCAACTATTTAACGATGTCATAAGGGAACTTTTACAGATATTTTAATGTCATAGAACTCGCCATGAGTTTATTCAATCATTAACTGAAAAATCAAGATTTATCATAAAATTAAAATAGGAAAACCGTGAAATTTTAACGAGCCTTTCTGATTATTATTATTATTATTATTATTATTAGCAGCAGCATGGCCCGGCGTTGCCCGTGCTTGATCCATAAATCGTACGAGTCATACAGCAATCGCTATCACTTGACTTAAAATATATTTGTCCTTCCTTGCCTTTAAAGGAGTGCCCTTTGCTGTGCTGATGTTGCTACACGTCTTACTTCTTGCCTATCTCACACTGCAATTTTTTTCTGAGCTTTATACTAAACATTAAATCTGTTACGAAAAAGAACTAAACAAAATGAACACAAAACGATCAGCTTTAAAAAAAATACTCGTAACTGGAAAAACCGAATGAAAAAAGAATGTTAACAACAAATACTTTTTCACACCCAACCCAGTTCTTCGGAATCAGAATCAACGTTGAGTTTAAGCAAGCGAATGAGCCAACTGGAGTAAAGTGCCATGCAGATTTAAATTTTTCCCACTTGTGACGAATGCAGCTATCGAATTTTTTGCATGTTACTTAACATTCGTGTCAGTCAGCTGTTGGCTCTCACGCTGGCCAATAGAATCTTCCTGCCTATTCGTGGCAGCCAGCTATTAGGGAGTTGGGAAATGCAAAGTCACTCTTGTCCTTCCCGCTAACTTGGAGCATGTACATGTAAGTTTTGGTGCAAATCCGTCGAAAATTTCGGCCGTGCATTCGTTACACACACACATATCCTGCTTTTTATAGATAGATATTACAGTAAGTCTCCGAGTTAAGTTTGTCCCGACCTACGACAATTTGTGGTTCCGAGGCAATCGCCATTAATCTTGTTTCGACTTACGCCGTTTGCCACGCACATCAGTCAGTTATGTGGTATACGTGATATACGCTTATGCAATCATGTATGTTTCGATATATGACTGACGAGGCAGATTTTTCCCGCAGTAGGTTGCCATTTCTTACTGAGGTAGACCAGTTGCCATCCAAGGCAACACAGTCTGTCCTGCTATTTACCCATATAAGAGGAGGATTCATACATTTCCCAAGGGTATTATCACGTAAGTGAATGTAATCAATTCGACTGGAATTCGAACTCGGCTCTCCGATTCCTCAATGTGAGCTGTTATCCATTACTCCACCTGCCACGTACATACGACGCAAATTCCTGATAAAAGAGGAAAACAAACGCGAGTTTGTTTTCTGCCTTCTCTGGATTTATTGCTGCTCCTGAGTAGGGCAACAGAGACAAGATCTTAGAACGAGGCTCGTGTCATTAATAAATAACTTGTACCAAAGAAAGAAAGAAAGAAAGAAAGAAAGAAAAAGAAAAAGAAAAAAGAAAGAAAGAAAGATGGGAAGAGGGTTTAAACAGAAAGAAAGAGTGTTTAAACAGAAAGAAAGAAAGAATGAAAATTGAAAGAGAGTTTAAAAAGAAGGAAAACGATTTGAAAAAAGAAAGAAAGAAAAAAGGAAGAAAGAAAAATAGAGAGTTTAAAGAGAAGAAAGCGAGTTGAGAAAGAAAGAAAGAAAGAAAGAAAAAGAAAAAGAAAAAAGAAAGAAGAAAAAAGAAAAATAAAGAAAGATAGAAAGAGGGTTTAAACAGAAAGAAAGAGAGTTTAAATAGAAAGAAAGAAAGAATGAAAATTGAAAGAGAGTTTAAAGAGAAGGAAAACGAGTTGAAAAAAGAAAGAAAGAAAAAAGGAAGAAAGAAAAATAGAGTATAAAGAGAAGAAAGCGAGTTGAGAAAGAAAGAAAGAAAGAAAGAAGAAAAGAGAAAAAGAAAGAAAGAAGAAAAAAGAAAATGAAAGAAAGAAAGATAGAAAGAGGGTTTAAGCAGAAAGAAAGAAAGAATGAAAATTGAAAGAGAGTTTAAAGAGAAGGAAAACGAGTTGAAAAAAGGAAGAAAGAAAAAAGGAAGAAAGAAAAAATAGAGAGAAAAATAGAGAGTTTAAAGAGAAGAAAGCGAGTTGAGAAAGAAAGAAAGAAAGAAAGAAAGAAAAAAAGAAAGAAAGAAAGAAAGAAAGGCTGGGAGAGAAGGAGAAAGTAAGTTGAAGAAGAAAGAAAGACAGAAAGAAAGAAAAAAAGAAAACTGAATAATGAGTCAGAGAAGGGAAAAGTGGTGAAAACGTGTCTTTTTCATAAATAACTTGTACTAAAGAAAGAATGTAAGAAAAAATGAAAGAAGAAAAGAAAGAAAGAAAGAAAGAAAGAACATAGGGAAACTAAAAATCACAAAAAAAGAGAAATATAAAATTAAAGAGAAAGTGCGCATGCGCGCGTGTGTGTGTGTGAGTGAGTGAGAGAGAGAGAGAGAGAGAGAGAGAGAGTGAAAGGGGGGAATAAAATCTAAAGAAAGAAAGAAAGAAAAAAGAATGAATGGCAACAATAACAGCAGCAGCAGCAAAAATAAAAGCAATCCTCTTCCCCGTGACATCTTTTATGTTGTTTACCGTTCTTGACGAGATAAGGAATACCTGTGACCCTCCCTCATGATGATGCGTCTTCTCATTGCCGATAGGAAACCAATAGAAAATGTCAGAAAATAAAAGCCGCACTGTCATTAATTCTTCACCAAGGATTGAATCGATATAAAGAACAAAAATCGATATTGTCAGGAGAATTCTCTTTCAATAACTTGCGTGCATACGCATACAACCAGGCGTACACCATTGCGTATGCCATCACCGTAGGTCAGGGTGAGAGCAGGTTTAATATAAGGGTGACAAACATGCAAAACGGAATCGACATAAATTCTTCGGAAAAGCATGAATTCTTTTCTTCCTGCAATCACCAATCAAATGTTGTCTTTGTAGAAACGCTTCGCCCCTATCACATCTCAAAAGCAGACAGAAAGAGTAAGAAACGGATTTTAGCAAACCACTTCCCCATATATATATATCTGTCTTGCAAGAGGATTCCTAATTGATTATTTCATAATCAAAATTGGCACGGTGTTGAACACAGACACACACACTATAACCCCCTCCTCCTCAATATTAAGTATTATAATAAAAATAAATTTTAAAATTCTACCTTCCCTCTCTAAACTCGTCCATGTCTCTCACACTATTCCTCAGCATCCTTCTATGTCAACTTATATAAGCTTAATACTGCCCTTCAAAAGTGTAAATTTTAAATTCATTTTTCTTTTCACCTTTGAAAGTGAAGCCTGAAGATCCAGAGAAAAATAAAATTCTCTGGTGAAATAAATTATAACTAATGAAACCTTAAAGTGGTCTGGTTTTTCTTTAAATTAAATCATTCGCTCTGACTTAACATTGAGCTCTCAGGATTTCATCCTTCATACGGATTACCAAGATTTTCGTTATTTATATATATATATATATATATATATATATATATATATATATATATATATATATATAAAAGTGAATACTAAATGTGATCGTCATGTCAATGATTGCCTTTTTGCATAAAACAGATTGTTGCTTCTGTATGTCCACTTTTATATTTACTTATGATCTATCCCTGATATTGAACACTTTAATCCATACATATAGCATACCTTAAAACTTATCATATCATTTTATCATATATATGTAATTGCTTATTTAATTTGGTTTGTCTGGTTTGTTCTGCTTTACGGTATATCAACCTCAATGGATTATTTAATGCCGACAAGATTTTTTTTTATTGGTGATAATATTTTTTCCAAAAATGTATTACTGGTAATATTTTTTTCTTCAAAAATGTATTGCTGGTAATATTTTTTTCTTCAAAAATGTATTGCTGGTAATATTTTTTTCTTCAAAAATGTATTGCTGGTAATATTTTTTCTTCAAAAATGTATTGCTGGTAATATTTTTTTCTTCAAAAATGTATTGCTGGTAATATTTTTTCTTCAAAAATGTATTGCTGGTAATATTTTTTTCTTCAAAATGTATTGCTGGTAATATTTTTTTTCTTCAAAATGTATTGCTGGTAATATTTTTTTTTCTTCAAAAATGTATTGCTGCTAATATTTTTTCTTAAAAATGTATTGCTGGTAATATTTTTTCTTCAAAAATGTATTGCTGGTAATATTTTTTTCTTCAAAATGTATTGCTGGTAAAATTTTTTTTCAAAAATATATTGCTGGTAACATTTTTTCCTTAAAAAGTATATTGCTGGTAACATTTTTTCCTTAAAAAATGTATTGCTGGTAATATTTTTTCCTTCAAAAAATGTATTGTTAGTAATATTTTTTATTAAAAAATGTATTGTTGGTAATATTTTTTTCTTCAAAGATGTATTGCTGGTAATAGTTTTTTCTTCAAAAATGTATTGCTGGTTATATTTTTTCTTCAAAAATGTATTGCTGGTAATATTTTTTTCTTCAAAAATGTATTGCTGGTAATATTTTTTTCTTCAAAAATGTATTGCTGGTAATATTTTTTTCTTCAAAAATGTATTGCTGGTAATATTTTTTTCTTCAAAAATGTATTGCTGGTAATATTTGTTTTGTTTTTTTTCCAAAAATGTATTGCTGGTAATAATGTAATGCTGGTAATAATTTTTCCTCAAAAATTTATTGTTGATATTTAAACCTATTTTTACACTTTCATACTGTTTTGACGCCAGTTAGGGGGTTACCTATTTTCCCATAGTTGGGGTCCTAACAGGTGCTATCACCCCGGTTCAGGCTTGATCTGCGAACACCAGCAATTAAGAGGTGGTTCCTTGCTCTTCAAAACCTCCTACTCAGAGGCCTTGCCGTTGGACGTAGTTCTTCGTCTTACCCAGTAAGCGGATATAGTTTATTGTCTTACCCAGGATGCTATGTATTTGGTTAGTAAACCCTCTTTTATATCTGTTTCATTAAATACGACTGACATAGTACTACCTGCGATTAAGTTTTTTATTTAATTTTTCTTGTGTTTGTATAAGTGTTTTGGGGACATAAAGTTTGTAAAAATGTTCAATTGTCCTGCATATCATAGCGCTTTCATCTATTCTTTTAGCCATTTGTGAAAGTGGTTTTACTTTTTTATTTGTCTTCTCTTGATAAGATCTTATTAAAGTATAAAATTTATTCGATGCTATCAACAGGTGTATTAAAAAAATTGTGCAAGAGAAAACTAGAAAAGAAAAAATATAGGAAAGTACATTCGCATCAAACAGCAATACAAAAACGAAATTATAGAATCAACTGACTGGTTTTCGTACCTCTCTCGTCATAGATCGATAGGGGAATTAAATTAATGTCGCTCTGCCGACTAAAAATGAAGCGGGATAAAATTTGGATGAGAAATATATTATTGATATTTGTGTGTTTCTTATCCACATTCACTCCGCTTCCTTTTGTCCTGTGTGCACGATTCCTCGATCGATCTCAAACGCGAAAGAAACGAAAATCGGTCAGCTGATTCCTAAAGAATCTAATGTATGTTTATCTACCACAACTTGGGTTTATGTAAAAACGTCCCCACATGAACATCCGGGCAACCATCAAACATAAATAGACACTCTCACACACAGGGACACGCACACAGACACACACACACACAAACACTTACGATTATGCATAATCATCTGAATTCTACATAGTGAAACTAGAATTATGGTACACTTACATACATAAATATGGACACTTCGACACGATGTAGTGATCGTTGTCTCGATGCGTCAATTACGACTGTGTAATGAGTTTGATCCTCATTAGGGGGCTTCCTACTTCTGGCCTTGTGCCACACATCAAAGCTACGATTAGAAAATCGTCGTACATAAAGCAATATTTCCGTTTTTTCAGTTACGTTTGGAAACCTCTATTTTTGTGCTTCGAAAGGAGGCGTACTCTCTTCTTCAGAGTTCAGAACGCCATAACTTATACTCACGATGCTTAACAAGTCAAATTGCACCTGATACCTGCTTAACCAATGAAAATCAAACAACACACACACACACACACACACACACACAAAAGAATACCACGGTTTCTTTCTGTTGTAAACAAAGAAATATTAGCGAATGAAGAATAACCAAAACGGAGGTTGGAAATGAAATGGTACATCAACAAAATGCAATACTCGCCAGCGGCGTGAAATAGGTAAACCACTGCTCATGGTGGACTACTTAGACACCATATTACCCTCCACGTACAATAGTGTCCAACATATTTATGAGGATTGGGACATAGCCATTAGTGTTCACAGTAACGGTATATAACATTCTGCCACTTTTTCTTTATATCTATCTATCTATCTATCTATCTATCTATCTATCTATCTGTCTGTCTGTCTGTCTGTTGTATCCTAGAAAGGGTTACTGAATGAGGAATAACCAAAACGAGGTTGGAAATGAAATGGTAATCTTTATAACATCAACAAAATACAATACTCGCCAGCGGCGTGAAGTAGGTAAACCACTGCTAGTCGTGGACTACTTAGACACCATATTACGATATTTTTGTTAAAATACAAAAAATGTGGCACAAGGCCTAAAAAAGGGAATAGGGAAAAGGACGGTTTTCATCTGTCTTAACTTTAAACTTAGCTAGCCACAAACACCGACCCAAACATACAATAGTCCTAACACCAAAACAACAGACTCTTACTAACCTTTCTTACTACATCCACCATAATACCTAATTGTCTCTATGAAAAAAAACTAAATAGTCCCCATATGTACAATTCTTTGTCTATGGTGGGAAGGGAATAAAAACAACAATTTAAAAAAATCCCCAATGAGTATGTACAATATGAATATAATATATTTACAAGAAACAAAGAACATTCTTTGCAGTGGAACATGATTCCTTCAGCAACCTGCATAACGGCGCTACCACCCTGCAATGAAAGAAGGCGTGAGCAATGGTCTGGATTTCCCCAATACACCGACGGCAGTTTGACGATTTCTCCAAGCCCGCTGAACAAAGTCTTTTGGCGACGCAGACGGCCGCACGAATCATCAACTAGTTATTGAGGCATTTCAACCCGGGTGTCAAAAGCCATATTGAGCGAGACTCCTGCTTCGTAAGACTGAGCTCGTCAATCAGCTCATCACGAACGAACCTCCTAACACTTGATATAATGCCCTATGAGACAACGTCGAGAGGCCATCCGACGCCTATAAGAGGCGTTTCAGAGCACGACGACATTCGCGGTAGAATGAGCATTCGACTCGAGGTAAACGGTAGGCCTCCTCCTCGGTCGAGTGCGCACTTCTTAGGGATGGGAAAGTCTTACGGGCGTCTTCCATCCAGAAAGCACCCTCCTCATCCGATTCGCGACACATTCGGACTAGGAAGGCAATGCGAAGCATATATTGACGAATCTCAATGCTAGGCATACGGAAGTGGAAGTACAGAGAACCGGTAAAGGAGAATCGGGTAGATGTGTGATACACATACTTCCGCTCTACCCTTCAAGGAAAGATTCATCCGAGACCACAGATTAACTGTGATTTAGGCCTTCCCTTGTACTTCCGACCAATTCATATCCAACTGGATATCAGGACCGGACCAGACGCCGAATATCTTGATCGGCCCATCCGTCCAGAGGAAAGGTCCGGGAAGAGAAACTCCCTTCGCGGTTGATCTTGGCCCCTGTCACCATCTCATAACCACTGATCTCTTTGCTGACTTCATCAATCTCGGCTCTGCTTGACACAAGAACCGAAACGTCATCAGCATAGGCTGAATACCTGGCCGAGGTGGTAGCACCAGGCAGAGAAATTACGCGGAAAGCGGACAACCTTAACGAATTGAGTGAGTCAATACGAAAGGCTCCGATCGTACCTCATTCACCTCTACCAGCGTAAGGGAAGTCGCATACAGAAGTCGGATCCAGGTGCGAAGCTACGGCCCGAAACCGGGCGCTGAAAGGACAGCCTTTAGGAATCTATGGTCTACCCTATCGAAAACCACGCCAAATACAGACGAGAATAAACGTTGAACTTTTAAAAGGCGGACAAAAATTAAATACAGTGTAACCCGGATATAAGAGAGTTGTCGAGACTGGAGAAAAAGTCTCTTATATCCGGGTTTCTCTTATATCCGAGTTTGGTCTAATTTATATACATTAACACAGGCTCTAATTTGGGACCAGAGAAAATCTCTCTTATATCCGGGTTTCTCTTATATCCGGGTCGCTTATATCCGGGTTACACTGTATACAAAACAATCACAAATTTCCTTTAAAGGGAATATACACAAAAACCGTTACACGTAGGAAAAGGAATAAAAAATACACGAAGAAAGTCAAAAAGCAACAATAAAATAATACAGTAATAAGACTAGAAAAACAAAGAAATTACGAAACTAATACTAAACTAACAAATCATAAAATCAAATATGGCTACCGTAAAAACCAAGTCAGCCCGTTAACGAAGAAAAACAAAACGGAAAAAACGGATACATTAGACAAAAATTACAAATACAAGAAAATTAAAACAAATATGTATACAACAGATTTAACAAGTACATCACAGAAGACTTAACGGATATTTAAAAAGGAAAAACAAAGAACAACAAAGAATGAAATAACACGTAATAACGAAACAAAGAAAAATAAAAATACGCAAATAAAACACATAAACTCTAGCGGGGGATTACAGAAAATTAAAAAGAAACGGAAAATATAAAATCTTAATTTTAAAATAAAAGAAAATCAAAAAACTAATAATAAAAGAATGAAAGCAAAAAAAGAAAAATGGAGAGAGTAAGAAATTGAAAAAGAAAAAAATCAAAATACTTTTCAAAAATCAGTCAGTACAAAATTGAAAAGTAAGAAAAAGTAAAATAAAAAACAGACTTAGCAGAAACGTAATTATAAAATAATAAAAGTTTATTACGCAAAATAAACGTAATTAGTAGCACGAATATTCAGGTGGCAAGAACCGGTCGGTATAAGGTCTGAAAAGACAGCATATTGATCCCACTTTCGTGTCCAACGTATTTATGAGGATTGGGACATATGCGGTATTTAATCTGTCCGCACCCGACACACACTAGGACGAGATGTGACACAAGGTTTATTTTTAGGCGAGGACCGGAGTGCGTACGCCGGGGACAGGAACAAAAAATTCCCCTCAGCCCCCGCAACCGACCCCTCCCTCTGGTGCAATGGGAGGGCGCTGCTGGGCACCTCTCAGTATTATTTTCTCAGTTGCCTTTCTGTCATTTGACAGAGAAGTCCCTGAGCGCACTCTGTCCAAGGACAGAGACGCAACTGAGAGATGATAAGTAAACGTGAACCTACTCAAAAAGTTAACATTAGTGTTCATATGTACGGTATATAACACTTCCTTTTCTCCATATCTCATTCCCTGACGAAGCTTTAATAAAAACTGAAACGTGTTAGATTTATAAAAGTTTCCTGTGTTTTCTTTATCCACACATTCTGTCGGATCCCGAACCATATCTGATCACAATTTAGCTGATAATATAACCCTTTCTTGTCTTTTCGTAATTCCATTTGATCTGACTATAGTGTCTCTTTTTATCTTTTTATATAGTTTCCTACAGTACCTCTGTTTTTTATGGCATTTATTTTAGTAAACGTTTCGCAGCAATCGTTACTAACTCCTATATTATATTATCGGGATATATGCTGGATTCGACAGGTATACATTAGTCGAATTTATACTAGAGTTTGTAGATAAATATTGGTCGGGATTATATTCATTTATTGCTGTATAATTATTAACGCATCAGCTATAAGGCTAAGAAAGGCAAGCAGACAGAGAGTAAAAGGTGTTAAAAAGAGCAATGCCCCCCAACCCCCCAAAAACAAACAAAAGAAACAAAATGTTGGAATATTCGAAACATTGAATTAGAAAAGGGTTTAAAACAATTGAAAAAAGGCCTATTTTACGCAAGTACAGTTATCATCTGCCAATAAAAAATATACTATAATTCCCCATATATAATACGCCTTCATCCATTATACACACACCTAATGTTGTGCTTAAAATGTGGGAAAATACTTCTACTCATGCATAATACTCACCCTTGTTTGGTAATCAAACCTAATAAATTGTACCTCTCCAGTTTCATTACAGCTAGCGTTTCCTACTCTTAATAAAAAATGGTTATAAACAGAATAATATTATTCTAGTTTAGTTTTATGATTATTCTTATTTTATTTTTAAAGATTTTTTTGTACCTGTGCATAATACGCGCCCCTGATTTTGCTTCTTCTTTTTTTTTTAAAGAAAAAATGCGTATTATACATGGGGAATTACGGTATTTTGATATTCTTTTTGAAGACGTCTAAAGTCTTTTGGTTTTGACCCGCCAAAAGAGTGGGTGTGCCCTACTCATGCATTACCACCAGTGAAAAAGAATATTTTTATATGTCCACACGATAGAGCAGCTGTTGAATTTTTATGGATTTTTCCTGATGAAAATATATTGGCTTTTTCTAAATATTTCTTGGAATATGACTGATCTGTTGAATTTAATCTTCTAATTACCTGTATCAAATCAAATTTAAGACGTTCAGTTTCAAGTGAGAAAAGGCCAAAGGTTTTAAGTCTATTGGGCTAAGGCCCATCTTTAAGCACAGGAATCATTTTTACAAAGTATTTTTGTACGTTTTCAACCTGTTGTATATCACGGGTGTCATGTGACTGCACACATGAAGTATAGTCTAAAATAGAATGGATTTGTAATAAATAAAACCACACAAAATTTCCATTACATTGTGAGGAAAAGGTATATTGGTCCGATTTATACTTGTGCCTACAGGTAAATGTTGGTCAAACTTATACTTAACTCTAGGGATTTTCCAAGCGTAGCTTGGATGTGGCACAAGGCCGAAAGTAAGGGGTACCCAGTGAGGATTGAACTCACTACTCATTCGTAATTGTTCTAGCAAGACAAGCTTGTTAACCATTACACCACCTCGAGTTGCCCAACTTATACTTAACTCTATCAGCAGACATTGGTCGAGTTTATACTATAGGTGAACATTGGTTGAGTTCATGATTGGTTTGTTTTGGTTTGTTTTACGGCATATCAACATCTCAATGGGTTATTTAATGCCGACAATATTTTTTTCCCCAAAAATATATTGCTGGTAATATTTTTCTTTTTAAAAAACGTAATGCTGGTAATAATGTCTTTCAGGGAATGTTTTATCTTCGAAAATGTACATCTTGTAATAATTTTCCAAAAAAGGTATTGCGGGTATTATAAACTATATTTTTTTTTTATACTTTCATAGTGTTTTGAGTTAAATATTTGCCCATGGCTGGGACCCTGACCCTGGGAACACCATCAATTAAGAGGTGGTT